AGAGCAGTCAGCATACCTTGACCAAGTTGCAAGCTTACAGTTGGTTTATCGGACACACTTAGACTTGTTGGCAAATGGCAGAGGGACACTGGCAGATATTTTGGACACGATGGAAAGGATAAGTCTTTTTTCCACGTATATATACATAATATATATATATATATATATATATATATATATATATATATATATATATATATATATATATATATATATATTAGGGGCTGTACCGAATAGTGATTTTCACTATTGGCCCAATACGAATAGCTGGACCAACTATTCGGCCGAATAGGAATACGAAAAGTGAATCATCATCAACAGGTGCTTTGCCGACTGGCATGGGCGATTATGCCTTGCCACAATCTGTGATCTCCTGCAGCATGTATTAGTTCCTGTGCTGACACACCTCCATGCCAAGCAACAAAACTGTCAAGAATCTTTGTTTTCCTTTATCCCTTCCTCCACAGATTTTTCCAGTGGTCACCACATGTTCCATTTCCCCTCATCTTATAACATGGCCGAAAAATGATGACTGTCTCCTTCTGATGTCTGTGAGTAGTTGTCTTCGGGATCCCGTCTCTTTCAAAACCCCTTGGTTGCTTTTTTCTGGCTGTGCAAAGTATTCTAAGCATTTTTCTGTATATATATATATATATATATATATATATATATATATATATATATATATATATATATATATATATATATATATATATATATATATATATATATATATATATATATATATATATATATATATATATATATATATATATATATATAATAATACAGGACTTATTTTCTAGAGACGCCAAGCTAAATCTGGCGGGGTCATTCTTTGCCAGATTTCTGAGGCGTCTAGAAGTATTTTCACCTCTCTGATTAAATCTTGGCGCATTCAAAATACCAGTTTAATCTTTGAAGGATTCCTAAGCTTGGGTAAGTTGATTATAGTTTACTAGTACCATGAGATATGTCTCTTTAAAGTTGGCCGCTGCTGCAGGAAGGAAAGATTCAGCTGTGTGACCGCACAGAACTAGGCCGTTCTTGGTGTCCAGGCACTCAAACCCCTGAAATAAAACCTTTCCCTTCGCAGGCTAATAGTGTGTGCCCTACATGACCCACACCATTATAAAGATATTAAACCCAGCAAGTTAATTATTCTCTAACCAGCCAATAGAGTTTGTGTCGATTAGCAAACATTTAACTGGGTCGTACGTCAGCCAGCTAAGCGCTCTGACGCCAGAGGATATTTTTAGCACAACAACACTGGGTGTGCAGTGGGCAGATGGTGGAGCTATAAAATATGCATGTAAGAACGGGATAGAATGTATGTCTGCGGGTGCAGATAGGAAGGTGGAGGGAGGATGATCTATGTGTAGTAGTGTCTATCTCCACTATGTACCCTGTCTCCTATCTCTTGTACTGACTTACAGACTAAGATAAATGAAGGGGAAATTGTCTCCTGTTCTTGAGAGCTATCCTCTGAGTGATTGAGAAGTGTAGAGGGAAATAAATTGAGCTTGGTGTGTGACTCTTAAGATGAATACTAATTATGAGTTCTTTCGTGGCAGGATGATACCTTCGTAGAGGTCAGGCAGACGAGTCACGGTAAAGCCAACTACTATCCACCATACCAACCCTATCACCAAACCAACCCAAAATCCTACCTATTATTACCACAACTTCAACATGACAAGAGCTTGTGTGTGAGTTCCAGTGGCTGAGAGACAGTTGTTGCAGGCCACCTGTGTCATCACTCTAAGGAAGCCTTCTTCAGGCGCTGTGTTGGGCTCCGGCACAATTCCTTTGTTCTCATATCTGAAGAGTGTCAGTGGTTACCAGATCAACCAGAGGAAAAGCAGTCCATTGAGTCAGCCTATTCAAATCAACAAGTGCTGAGGGTAGCAGTGACCTACTAAATTGGATAAGTACCATCTGAGAGGACATACCACATGCTCTATTTACAGGTCTACCCATAGGCACCGTGATAAAAACTGAACTCTCTGATATTTATTTCACTGTTTCAACATCATCTCTTTGACGTTAGTTCCCGAAATCCAGTCACCGGGAACCATCTTGATTGTCTTGATGTATATACATATATATATATATATATATATATATATATATATATATATATATATATATATATATATATGTGTGTGTGTGTGTGTGTGTGTGTGTGTGTGTGTTTATTATTACATCCATTCAGAAATTGTCATGGCTGACTTGGGTGTCCCTGTTTCACTCTTCTAACTGTCTAGCGTTTATGTTTGTGTGATTAGTAAGTGTAATATGTGTTAACATGGCTGTGATAGTACACTATCATAGCCTGTGAGCTATCTTTCTACAAGTAGTGGGGATGTCCAGCCAAGTTGTGCCTAGGATTACTAGATATTCTGTAGTGCCAGAACTTGAGTTGCCCTACTCCTGAAATAAGTTGAGCGTATATTGGCGATGGGATATCCCTTAGACCAATACGAGCCGACGCCTCAACATTATTTATTTCAGAGTGCTGTTGGTTCTTAAGGAGAAATCCTTAAATCAGGGACGCGACACGAGCGGTATGTGACAGTTATTAGGAAAGAGGGATAGGGCCGACCAAAACAAAGATGGGCACATGATTTAAGTGATTCCTTGAATGTTAAAATACACGAGGCGGAAGAGCTAGTGAGAGACCGAGTTTCTGTCAGGCAAACTCTGATGAGAGCGACCTCGTGTATATATATATATATATATATATATATATATATATATATATATATATATATATATATATATATATACATACATATACATAATACATGTTGGGAGAAGGTTAGATAAAAGATTCTGAACATGTATACTAACCTTCAACATATACCATATACTATACACAAACATACACACACACAAACAGAAAACTGATAAAGAAATAAAAAGTCAGTTTGACAGAATTCTTTATATCCTTACCTACACAGGACTGCAGTTTGCACCAGCATATTGATGCCATTAACGGTGCTGCAGTTATAACTTCTTTGAAGTGTGATAGATTTTGCTCTGCTTGCCTGAACTGAATGAACTGAACTGAGTTGAACATGCAAGAACCGACATCACAGCATTCGGGGCATTCCAATAAGCGCTCCGTACCTTCTTCAGCAGCCAGTGCAGAGTTCCAATAACAATGGTGCCAATAGCCGTCTGATTATATGTCTGTCTTGTTTTTCCACTGAGACTCGAGTATCGACCAGATCCTCTGTCACTCCATGCTGTACTCACTCCAGACTGTGATGATCAGTTTGCTGTTACAAATTGTAAACGTGCTCCCATAAGGCCTGAATTAATCAAGTGAAAGAAAGTATTGTGATCGGCACTCACAGAAAGAAGTAGAAAGATAGAAGAACACACTAGACAACATAAAAATCGAAAGCTATAGTTACCGTGCCGGGAATTGAACCTGTCACCTTCAGACGTCGTCTGCGCCTCGCCATGAATACAAGTGCACTAAGATACATGGTCAACTAGGCACCCCCCCAAAAAAAGGTGTCTTATTGGCCATGTCTCTCGTACTGCTTGAAATCCACAACTATGGAATACGGACAGAATTCATTTTAACCCATTGAAATGGCACCATAGGTTACAGAAATTTATATTAACGAAGCAAATGTCGAATAACAATCACAGCAACAATTTACAAACACAGTAGACCTTATTACTTTGTCTAGAATACACAAACATTTAAGAAAGGTATTTGATTGGTAGGTTCCGGTGTGTATACGTCATTCCTATAAATAAACAGTAGGGGGAACCTTTTGAGGCCGTTAAATGTTATGAATTAATCAAGTAACAGAAAGTATTGTGATCGGCACTCATAGAAAGAAGTAGAAAGATAGAAGAACACACTAGACAACATAAAAATCGAAAGCTTTAGCTACCGTGCTGGGAATTGAACCTGTCACCTCCAGACGGCGTCTGCGCCTCGCCATGAATACAAGTGCACTAAGATACATGGTCAACTAGGCACCCCCCCCCCCCCCCAAGTGTCTTATTGGCCACGTCTATCGTACAGCTTGAAATCAACAACTATGGAATACGGACATAATTCATTTCAACCCATTAAAATGGCACCATAGGTTACAGAAATTTGTATTAACAAAGCAAATGTCGAATAACAATCACAGCACAATTTACGAACACAGTAGACCTTATTGCTTTGTCTAGAATACACAAACATGTACCACGTCTTCCATATCATGCAACAGTACTCTACCAAGTTGTGCAGAGTCATCTAATATGTCCGCCTGTTTATTACCCAACACACCGGCATTCCCGGAGAACAGATCCAGACAATGCTCCTCACCAGTGAGTGACCTCTGAAGCGAAGCATTCTATTCTGTACGAGGCATGTCAGCCCTCACTTGTGTCACCATGCTTCCCGAGTCAGTTACAATCACGTTATGTGTGTGTGTATGTGTGTGTGTGTGTAGTGTTGTGTAGTGTTCTCTAACCATCGGAAAACTGCAGTGACCGCCTCCATCTCCATTTGTATAAGTTGGATGTTGTGGTATCATACGCTAGGCTTTCATGATCCAAACATCGACACTTAGCTTTTGCTAAAAACACCCAAGGAATTCTTTTGCCCTTTAACACTGAACGATCTGTATATATACTCACATCCTCTTAGCGAGAATTATCTTGTATTAACTGCTGAATTTCTACCCCAGTGTCACCTGCTGGCCACTTTTTGCACTCCCTGCTCGATGTGATTATCACTCTACACAAATCTGACTGTCCGGCAGACACTCTGACCCACTTCTGTTCTCACCTAATGTTATTCAGGATGCAAACCTGTCTGGTTGTCTCTTCCACCTGTTCCATCCATGACTTCTCTCGAATCAGTCGTAGACCCGCATCAACGTTCGTTGTAGCATACATACTACATTGTTTTAACCAACTTGCTAGTGAAAATGATTTAGTTTTGACATTCTTGTTTTTTATTATTTTGTTTTTGGTACTAGGTATTGTTGAAAAACGGTGCACAGAAAATGGCACATGGGCAACACATCCTGTAAATGGAAATGAGTGGACGGATTATTCTCTCTGTGTTTCGTTAAAGGTAAATATTTGTCCACATTTCGTTAAGTTTACAAACTGCTCCTTGTATTATTTTAAATGTATTCTTTTATGGTATATTCAAATTCAATAGCATAGCTTTGCTTTTTGAACGGTTCGACTCTCATACCATTGTCGAATGAAAAGCTATGAGCTGGCGACTGCCTTTGCAGGCAGCGACACGCAAGGAAATGGTTGTAATTAATATGAGCAACATATTTTATTTATAACTGAATTGACAACAACTTTAGTGTAACCGATTATTATAAGTATAGATGCACTCTATTTCAAAATTGCTTGAGCCTCCTTGAAAACTCCATTGTGCCCCTGGGTTAAATAAGCACTAAGTTAACCTATGTGTATTCTCATCATCACACACCACTTGGAAATTACAGCTGAGCTACCCGGTCAAGATAATTACTCCAGGGTTATTCCACGATCTTACAAAAGACCAAAATGTAAATATACTCGTCGTAAAGATGGCATATATTGTCATGATGGCTCTATCTGATCCTAGATTGGAATGTATTTACCCTTCCTTATCAATGTCAGACTGCTGAATTTAAAAACTAGCTAGTAAAAGCACAAATTGCTGACAAATGCTAAAACTGGTTTTTCTACATCCTCAAAGAGGATATGCAGCTATGACTGAGTTAAGCGTTTCAGTAAAAGCAATATAAAGATCTTTTCACACCTTGGGCGCATCGGGCATAAACAAGAGTACCTCATATAGTTATAGACTTATCGGCACTAGTTAGGGTAATATGGTCAATATTGCGATAGCTATTTTTACTTCTCCGGGACATTCATTCTGGTATCCATTTTAGGCGGGGTCGACCTGCAGCGACCCATACCATGATAAAAATGCACACAGCCAGCCATGGGTTTCGATCTCAGTAGGTTGTTGGAATTACGAGTCGGACTCGCAACACCTAAGCCACGGATGCCGCTAAAAAAAAGTTAGTATTAAAGATAAAACTATAATATATTGTTTCCAGTTGTGCATATCATCCAAAAATTCAGGTTAGGAAGCTGATGAAATATGATGTCCTGCTGAATCTTCTTTTTCTTCTTTGTTTACCGGTTGCAACCCCGGCGGAAACCCATGTTTTGCACGTTGGCTTTGTGCGAGGGCCTCAGTTTTGCGTGTAAATCTGTTTGACTGTCTAATTTGTGTGCAGTTGGTTGTTCCTTGCCACGCGAGCAGATATACTTTGAAGAAAGCACCCAATTTGTCTACTTCTACGGCATGCTTGTTGAGAAGGCAGTGGGTCGATTCTTGTTTATCGCACACTAGAACCCACACAGGGAGTTTTTGTTGAATAATGGTGAGAATACCATGGACAGATCCAATCTGCTGAAAATGTTATTTAAAAAAATATTAACTACAAGACTATGTAGCTGGGCATGCTACATACGTTCATACATACCCATACTATCACTCTCATAATACATTTTCAGACCTACACATCATATACGTATTATTACACACATATGCATGCATATACGTTTATAAACAAGTATTCACACAAACAACAGATGCATTCATAACACCATTGTATATTTTATATATGTGTATATATCCAAAGGTCGTGGAGCAGAAATATTATCAAAACAGACACTGGCTTCCAGGTTTACAAGCCCTTAAATGAGTACCAGGTAAAACCATATGAAGTAAAGGGGACCTCATGATGCTGACCACATCACCCACCAAGTGCCCATTTGTTTAGCACAATGTCACATATGCCATAGGCGTCATGATTTTGTGTGTGTATGTGTGTATATACGTACCCATGTATACACATATGCATACATAACAAACACACACATACACACTCTCATATACTAATCCCTGTAGATACGCACAGTCTCATACATGTACACGCTATAGTAAAACTCTCACAATTATCCTCACACACACTCATAAAGACACATACATATGTATATATACTCTTATAAATCCTCCCTTACACGCATGCATACATATACAAATATATCCACACAGTAATACAGACAAACGGGTGCATATAAACACATTTAAAATTTACCCATTCAATTATACTAATAATACATAAATGCATATAAAGAGACAGGCATTCATGCATACATACATACATATATTTTTATGCCTACACATAAAAAGATTTGAAATACATATACATGCACCCACACACATACATTAATACACATTTCAACACTCATTGCACACTTTTACTCATAATATGAATACATGCACTCACACTCTTGCATTTCCATACACGGTACCATGTCCCTACATAAACTCGCTCATATACACACTCATACGACACACATACGCATACACATGCACAGACACTCACCCACACAGTACACATAAACACTCATAAATGCACAATCCACAAATCCTCAATAACACACGCATACAAACATTTACTTCCATACATTCACAGATATTCACACATATGCAAAAACACGCATGAATACACTCGTGCACGCACACACACCTACCCACACATACTCATTTATACTCCGACGTACCCACACATACTCACACACGCATACATACATATACATACACTCACATTCATCCATACACTTTCAAAAACTCATACTACACCCACTCATACATTTACACCCTCACAATACATATTTTCATAATAGCCACCCTCATACATACACAAACTCAAACACAAAAAACTCATACACACATACCGACCCATACGTACACAATTCCAATTTTTCCCATGCATGTACACACACTCACAAATACTCATATATACATAAACACCAGTACATTGGCACACCTATATCGAGATAGTGCGAACAAATAAAGGTTGAGAATTGGGCACGCTGCTTATTTTGTATAGGTCTATTCTAGGTATAGCTATATGCAATATGTTAAGGTGTTAGCTATGCCTTCCACTGCCTTTAGGTTTGAGGTTTGAAGAACGGATCAACATCGTGGCACATGGGTTGTAATCCATGAGTTTTCTGTTCTTCTACTAACTCAAATATGAGTCCTAAGAAGCTCAGTACAGAGCACAGGTTCTGTAGCACCGGCGAGGATCTGGAAATACTCTGGGTAGATTTTTAACTTCACATTTTGCCCTGTCTTCGCCGTTATGCTACTTTTTTTTTAAATTTCCAACTACCAAGGAATTATTTTACGTGCGCGACAATGCACACGGACCTTCGATCTCACTACACAGACAAAGGGAAATTACTAGAATCCAAGTCTAAGTAAAAAATTTAGCCCTTCCCGGGAATTGAGCCCGGAATCTCTAGCACTCGAGGCGGACACCATGCCTCGAGACCAAGCAGCCCCCTCTCCTACTGTATTTAAAAAACCGCCAACGGTAACATGGCAGAACAGAGAGAGGGTGGGGAAGGGAAGCGTGTAGGGATGTAGAGAAAGGACAACAGAGAAGGCTTTAAACAGGCTGGCATCATGACATGGAGTGCAACCTTATTAGAACTGAGCTGTCCATATAAAGCCCACAGTCCGTGTTGTGTTCCAACATCAGAAAACCAATAATATTGCCATATAATCAAAATTTTTTTTTAAAGCACGTAGGGAAGTAATATAGTAGTGAGAACAAGCATGCGTGGTAAACAACATGCATGCATAACCGAGAACTGCTTCTTAGTTCCTTCCGTACATGCTAAAAAAAAGGTGTTTATGTATGGGGGAAATTTTTGATTCTATGATTTCAAATCACAATTAACTACATTAATTACTGTGTGATTTATTGTTATTTCAATCGAATATAGTACTTTTTTATTTTGCCAAAAATATTATACAAACGACGCAAGGGAATGGCTAGTGAAATTAGTAAAACTACAATATAAAAAAAAAAGAGGCATATCTACAGTGCGTCCCAATGTCTCAAGCATTTGTTTTTTCAAAGTCCGACCCTGGCCGTTGCCGGGGGCCCTGATGTAACACAGCCTAGATGTTAAACGGGGTTTCTGGGACCTGTTCCCGGGTGATCCTCATCCGAATTTAGCCATTTGTGTCACCGGGTAATCTGGTAATCTGGTAGTTTCAGCTTCATAGCAAACAGGTCGCTCCATAGTTGCTCCGATCCTGTGCCAACGAAAAACACATAAAATGTTTATCACAGTTCAAATGAAATCCGCATCTCACAATGTTACGCCATGCAATCAATTCAGAAGCTGGGCAGCGAAACGATATCCTTCCAGTCTACAATGGATCAAAAATGCAACGGCCATCGTCTGGCAAAAGCAAAAAAAAATTTGCCACGGCTACAAAACGTTGCCGTGCCTATCGTCCATTTTGACCTGAAGCGTTATTTGAGGGTAAATAAATAGTCATCCCAGCAGTACCCTCACTATTAGCTGGGAAAGGGGCTTAGGACATTACATCCACCAGCAAGCGTCGCCCCTTCCTTAACAACTGTTCACCCAACAGCCATGCAGTTCTTTGGCACGAAGGAGACACCTTGAACTTGGGTATCGGAGTACTGACTTCCTACAATCGACGTCACTAACACTAGGTATTCCCATGCGTGCTTAGTCCTCCGTTGCAGCAGCCACTTCAAAGTACTTCTACTAACTGTTCCCATGAGAAGCTGGTTATATTCTCTCCTATCTCGGCCTCGAAGACGGCAAAGACGTGCTTCACCATGCTTTACACCCATGTCACGCAATTGTGTTAGTTTCAGGGATTCCTCATTATCCACTAGCCCAGTCCTTACGGCGTTGACGATATCTGCTCTGTCCATGCTTCTCCCGCAATCCTTAGTGCAGTGCTTGTCAGTTGGTCCGCTCACTCATTTCCCTTTACACCCGCATGATCTGGTGTGTATATTCAGGTTACGAGGTCAAGTGCGATTTTCGAATGCTTTCCACCCATTCAGAGCACATACTGCCTATTGCTATCTTCTGAAGCATATTCATGGAGTCTGATACAATAACTGCCTGTGTGGCGGTTTACTCAGGTACCCATGCTAAAGCTCTAGAAGCAGCGCCTATTTCCATGGTCATGCTTGAAGTGGTTGTCTGGTAGGGCGCCGCTGTCCTCCTGTATTGTTTTCCCCCATTTTTGCGCTGTGTATGCCCATGCTGACTTTGATACGCGCTTCGTGGATTCATCTGTGTAGATGATGATATCTTCTGGGTCTGAATACTGATCTATCAGTTGTCTTACTTCTGTGTCTACGGCCGCAGGAATTTTATCCCGGCAGTACCTTCCGAGTGTGATGACAACCTTAGAGATGTCATGCATGTCTACTGGTGTATTCGTCCAATCTTTTCCATGACTGATCACGTCTAGGCCATATACCTGCTGGATTAAATCCTCATCCAGGTTCGGCCTCTTTTGAGACGCTTTTCTTTTGTGTCGTGTATAGCTTTGTGCAATGGGTGGTTAACGTCTGCCGATACCCTCATGTACGCCTTGACCTGCGCGACTTTGTATCTGCTAGTCATCGTCGGCAAACTCAGGACATAACGCATGGCTTTGCGTGAGGTGTCTTTTGTGCAGCCGAGTATGAGTCTCATGGCCTCATTTTGTACTAGGTCCAGTCTTTCTAGATGGGTTCTGCTGACAGTAATGAGACCAAAAGCATAGTCAATGACGCTTAATACAACCCCTTAATAGAGAAGGACAAGTAGGCGTTGTTTATCAGCTGCTGCTAACACCTTGAGTGCTGTCAGACCTTTCCTGGCTCTAAGTATGGCGTTGTCTACGTGGCATTTGTATGACAAGCATCTGTCAAATGTCATGCCCAGGTATTTCATGGTGTCCGTTCTCTCGATGTCCACACCAAATATGCTTACACATTTCCATTCCTGGAAACCATCATATGTGTCATAGGCAAATACTGCAGCATTGCACTATGTATCTCTTCCCGGTCGGAAACCACCTAGTGTAGCGGGTCAATGTTTGGGTCAACGTTCTAGCCATGATTTTTTCCATGAGTTTTCCTAGTGTTCTGGCGTGTGATGATTCTGTAGCCAATAATTTTCCCGCTGTTTATCGCTCTGTGTGGTGTTCTGGTGAGGTTGAAAGTCAGTCAGTCAAAAAGAGGCAGCTATGTGTTTCTTTTTCCTGTCATGTGATAAAAAGAATCTTCTTCTTCTTCTTCTTCACTTCCTCTTTTACCGCTGTGAGTGTCGAGGGAGATATAAGGTTCTGTTTCTAGCTCTGATAAAAGACCTCTCAAAGGCCAACGCCACGTCCTCGTCGTGAGAGGTGGTAACAGGACAAAGTAGGGGATTGCTAGGTGTGGGCGAAGTATGGTGTGGCCTCGGCCACGGACCACTAACGTAGCCATGAAGGCCACCCTGGGTCACCCCGAAACGTCCTGGCCAACGGGGCTCTGGTGATGTTGCGACAGGACTAGCAATCCGGCAATGGATTTATTACCGCTACAGAAATCAAAATGAGATAAAAAGAATAGCATTAGAAAATATCGTGATAACTGGACACATCAACAGCAGAAGATGCCGAGAAGCCGGAAGCGACGCAATGCTGAAAGAACATCAGTGGAATTTATTCCAAATACTAAAAACCGAGATATGTAAAGAGACATTAGTGCCGCTGAGCATGTACATGATGGTGATGATGATTTTTGTTGTACTGCATGTTGTAAATATTTTTTCCCCAGTGTATTAATATTAGTTTGTAAACCTTTACAGGGTTATCGAATTCTCTATTATGTGTGTGTCGTGTGTCACGCCATCAGCCTCATGTGTTTGATTCCCACTTGTATCATCTTCATCGCATTTAGGTAAGTGAGTTTTTGTAACAGTTATATGGGTATTCCTTAGGTGTGGCTCTGTGGTCTAGAAGTTATGAATGAGTTTAACAGGTTCATTATCCTCTCAGTAGTGTTAAATTTCTGCGCAGATCGGTTTATTTAATAAACAACTGTCTGGCGGTTTTCAGACAACGGTATTTAAGTCTCGTCTCCCAGCGGAAGACATTGGGGACCTCATCAAGTAATAAATAAACCCGTGGGCTATCCTCCGATCAGCAGCCACATATTATGGCGGCCAAATCACAGCCTCAGTCACATGTAATTTGCGGACTTTTTAAAATCATGTCGCATGAGTTGTTCACCATTGTAAACTGATAAGAAGAGGGAAATCGGCATCTTATGTAAAACGCTCACGTGATTCCCGGAGCTTTAACTCTTAAATTTGTCAATCCTAAATGCTGTAATTTATTTTACTGTTATTTTGGTTTTCAACGTTGTTTCTTAATGGTTGGAAATGTTTTATTATACGTTCGATTCTTTGTGTGAAGCTGATTTCCTTTCTATCCTGAAAGACTGACATTAATGGGTAAAGGCTCCACCTAAATGGTGTTTAAATGTTGACACGACTCTGGGGACACTATACAATGAGAATTGAACCAGTCGTTAACTTAAGAGGCCAAGCACTTTAATGGACTTTGTCTTGGCAGTTTTTCAATAGTGACCACTTTGTAAAATTGGTTAATCTTTGTTAGTTGTCTACCTATCGAATCAAATCTCTCTCACTCTCTCTCTCTCTCTCTCTCTCTCTCTATATATATATATATATATATATATATATATATATATATATACACACACACACACACACATACAGACTCACATATCGTTAGAAAAGCTCCCTTTTTTTTGTTAACCATCTCCCTCACTCACTCATTCACTCTCTCACTACTTCTATTTTCCTCTCTTACCCTCTCTTTCGCTTTATGTCTTTCGCTGCTATATCAGCCCCCTTCTCTCTCCCTCTCTCTCTCTCTCTCTTTCTCTCTCTCTCTCTCTCGCACTTTTGTTGCCTCTTTTTCTCTTCTCTCTCTATGTAAATCGCTCTATCTTTCTTGATAATCATGTATGTCTTCTATATTCATCCCTCATCCTTCTCTCGGTCCTTCTATTCATATTTACATATACCCATCTATCTACTTTATTGTGTTTGCCTCACGCATATCAAATGTTCTTTCTTACCCACTATGTTACTTTTTCTATTTTGTTTTCATATAGTCTCTCTCTCGCCTTACTATTTTCATGTGCTCTTTTTCGTATTCTCATGTACTCTGCTCTCTCTCTCTCTCTCTCTCTCTCTCTCTCTCTCTCTCTCTCTCTCTCTCTCTCTCTCTCTCTCTCGCATACTTTTTATCCTAACTAACTCTCTCTCTCTCTCTCTATATATATATATATATATATATATATATATATATATATATATATCATTCCTTCTCTTCCCCACTTGGTATATCCATGTATATCTGACAAGAGTGCAGTATAAGTCATTTTTTTCTTACAAGGGACAACAATGGGGATTCTGTATGGTTTTCTTTGGCACAGGGAATAGAGCAACCTGCGACGACCGTTTGTTGTGAAGTTTAAACAGCGATTATCCAACTGTTATGTGCAGTTCTATTTTCTACATTCAGACACCCTGTTAGCTGCTCTCTACCTACTCGTATTTGTTTATTTGCATTGTATATGTCCTGTCCATAACTTCTTTTACTATCGCCTTCTTCGTTGATAATTGCTCTGTCCTAGCAGTGAAATTTGTTTAGTCTGACATTTCAAGTAACAAAAAAGACACAGAAGATGGTGTGGAAAGAAACGTTAGCCGTTATATTTGTGGTTTCATGCCACATTAAATAGGAAGTCGCTGTGGTGTCGCGGTTAGAGGCTCGCATTCTGATAGGAAGGTGGGTAATTCGGATCTTGACGGAGCTGGGTATCAGGTGCAATCCTTTGAAGTAAAGTCGGCCGACTTGGTGTTGACCACATCACCAATTGAGGGCCTATTGGTCTATATACAATGTCTAGCCATAAATGCCCAATACGCCTAAAGGGGTGGAAATGGTTCTTTACTTTACTTTTACTTTACATATTGAATGGACGGAGCAAAGCACCAGGCGTGGAACATAACCCCATACCAAGTATTGTGTGATCAATTACTAATGCTCGCAACAGTTGTTTTTTAATTAGCTCTTTATTTCGTCATTGTCCATTTAACTGTGCATGTCCTCTATTATTCTTGTTTGTTTATTGTAAATCAACGCATTTATTTTATTTTATAAAGTGAAAATCTCCCTTGTGTTTGCCTCACGCATATCATAATGTAATGTATATCAGGAATGAAAGAGGTAATATTTTGTTAAGCATCATATGGCCTTATCAACAAAGTTTATGATATTTTTCCTTTAACAGTGTATTGTATTCTTATCAACATTCATGTTTTCTTACTTGTACCCGCCATTTATTTTGGAAACATAAGAGATACTGATGAAATATCTTCGTATATAGTTTAACATTCATTTACGTAAAAAAAAAAAAAAAAACTATTTTGCTTTAAGTTTACCTTGCAAATTATAATAATGATATTTTGTTATAAGAAACAATGTCACACACAAATTTGACATTTCCAATGCGTGATCCTAGTTTAGCTATACTGACTATTCCCATGCTGATATGGTAATGTCCGCTATCTTGACCTCAAAGACCATACATACGGACGTGCTTGGTCAGATTTTACTCCTTGGTGGCGTATTCAGGTTATTGACAGCGTTTTCACAAGCCGAGTTTTCAAAATAATAGTCTAAATTTGTCTTCCTCATTGATAAACCTACTATAGGACAGTTCCCTGGAATATCACAGCACTATTTACTGTGCGACCACACGTCTGTACAAATGCACTTTAATGCGTTTTAATAATGCATAGTCTATTCAATCTCTATTTCAGACAACTTCGCAAGCAACATCGAATTCGGATTCATATAAACCTCTGTGTTTCATTTATTCTGACGAGCAGTGCCTGGCTAGGCTGGGATCACTTAATTTACCGAGACAGACTGGAAAATTCCAAAGACGACGCCATCATGTACAGAAAGACG